TTTTAGTAGTGAAGTGTCTTTGGCAGCGATTTGGAACAGCACCTTTAACAGCAGGTCGAGTGCAGCACTGTGTGTTGTGCTTGAGTGAGTTTGGCTGAAGAACCATGAACATCTGCTGAAAGTGTTGATCTATTCTGGGACTCAGAGTTGTTCATGCAAATGTGTGTGTGTGTGTGTGTGTGTGTGTTTCACTGACTACATCTGATGCTTTATGCAGTATTGGTGAGGAGGTTCGTTTTCGCTTCATGTTTCTTTGACTGTTTTTGCATAAAACTATTAAAAACATCTAAAGAATTCCAATAAAGTACATTAGGCGGAGGGCAAAACAAGAATTTACACAATTATGAACTAGACAAGGAAAACTAGTAAAAAAAATAATAATAATAAAACAAGAAGGACCCAGAAACTAGCACCTAGACTAAGAAAGAAACACATATCAAGGCAGTAATAGAGTACTATTCAAGACCAAAATCTTGTCCATTTTCACACACACACACACACACACAGTCAGGTCAGGCTCCTACAGGGCTTGATCTTTCTGTCTGACATGATACACGTTATAGGAAATGAAAGGAGTCTTCCACTGTAATGTATGAGCAGAGCAGGTAATGTACTGCACACACCCTAATCCCTTCTTAACACTAGCTGTGGATTGAGAACACAGGGCTGTCTGTCATCCAGCTTTGTAGCCTGTTATTCACAGAAATGAACGAGGTTGTTACGCCCAGTGGATGAAGACATGACTGTGAAATCTCCAGAAAACAGTGGAAATTAAAATCTCCTGATGTCATTCAAATCTCCTGATGACCTTTACTGAAGTTCTCACTCTCCTCTCTTTATAACCGAGGGAGGAGAAAGAGCTCTAATTGATATTTAATCTTTATTTAGTCTTGATCATGTAGTGATGGGTCTGTCAGCATCATCATGGCCCAGAGACAACAGACTGCTCTGAGCTAATCATGACTTAACTAGTAAGCAGATAGGTTCAGGAATGTTGTATATGACATTCAGCCAATTCTGAAGGTCCTGACTATGCAAAATTCATGGAAAATAAGATATGTTTTAATCACTTTTATATCTCTTTGGATAAAAGCAATAAATCAGTAAATTAAAAATCAAGGATGGAAAAAAAACTTTAACTGGAAGGGAAATATGTGAATTGTGCTACATCTTACTGAACTGAAAGCAGGTGTAACTAATCAAAATTCCAATATGTCCATACATAAATGTACACAAGTGTGTAAAAATAAAAGGTGAATGACTTGAGCTAAAATTAGAGAGCAGGACGTGTATTATTTCAATGTGGTCTCATACAATGTCACGAAAATTAGTGGTTATGGTTAGGATTAGGGGCAGGCTAGTGTTCATACGTTTTCTTACAAACTTCATTCATATAAAACTGAATGAAATCTAATTACTTTTCCTCATAAAGACTCAGAATCCTAATAACACACACATAATTACACAGAAGAACTCAAAGTGCACTAGGAGTACAACAGAACAGAACAACAGGTGAGACAAACTGGACACAAATTTTCTGTAATGACAGAAGTGAAAAAAAATGGTCAAGGATGATGGATAAAGCTGGGTCATCAGCTGGAGAAATCAGATCTTATTAGAGCCGTGCCTCCACGCTATATGTCTCCTGACTCAGCACCATCAGACAGGAGGGAGACCTGAACCACAGGATGGAACAGGAAGTAGAAGTACACTCTCCCAAGCATATTTACATTTACAGCATTTGGCAGATACTCTTATCCAGTGTCACTTACAGAAGTAGAAGTGCTTTGTAGTCTCCATAAAAAACATATCCTCAGGGTCTAATAAAATATTAGGAAGCCAAATTCCTGTTAGAGAGGAGTTAGTATTAGTTAGTACAGCAACACAACAACAGTACAAGATGAGGTTTTTAATTAGTGCTCATTTTAGTGCTTGGTGATTGAAGGGAGTTGGTCTTTGTTTGAAGATAGACAGTGACTCAGCTGTTCAGTCAGCCAGAGGAAGTTCTTTCCACCACCTGGGGGCCAGGACAGAGAAGAGTCTTGATGCAATATAAGGAGAGAAGGTTAGTTAGTTTTCTAGAGCTACCTAGAGTCTGCTTGTCTAGTCAGATGTGTAACCCAAGAATCTTCTCCATGGGGATCACAAAATCTAGACATGAGGATGCATCTCCAGGGATATACAGCAGCTCAGTCTTGCTGAGATATAAATGGATGACGATAGGCAGGGCAGGGAGAAAACGGGGGAAGATACAAAGTAATGATGTGAAAAGTAGAGCATGGCAATGCTGATATCTAGAGCTGATGAAGGATGGATGAAGACCAGGTCCAAAAAAGTTTACACTATTGTGTGTTAGA